TATGAAACCTTTCTGCATCATATGTACAGAATTTAATGCTGCTGATGTACTTATCTAGTGAGCTATTGAACCTTTAGTAGTTTTCAATATAATCGTTTTATGGGATTGGCCTGGTTATCATTTGATTTCATAAATTTTTTCCATTGTGTGAAATGGTTTAATACCCCTTGTTCTTCTTAGCAAGTGTTGTTGAAAAGGCTAAAAATATAGTAGTTCGTGAGGTATAGACATTATACCTATTAGGGGTGCCTCGTCCACTCGCTTATTTAAAGAAATAACACAAAAAATTCAAATTTAATGATGACTATGTAACACTCGAAAGAACATTATTTGGCATTTATTTTTTGAAGATTATCTCTTTCAAATGTTTGCCGCGGCTAGGTATCAGATATCCCATCTGTTGAGTGCAATTTTCGATGACTCGTTCGAGCATTTCGATTGGTAACTTACGAATAACATGTGATGTTTTGCCTGACTCGAAACGGGGTATTCCACATAAGCTTTAGACTTAACATATCCCAACATAAATAAGTTAAACGGAGTGATATCATATGATCTTATTGCACAATCGACCGGCCCAAAACGTGAAATTATCTGCTCACCCCTCAATAAATCTATTGATCACGAACATCAATTTTAGTAATCAAATAGTCGGTTATCATGGCGCGATAACGGTGACTATTGTCGGATATGTTCTCATCGTCATCATTTTTAAAGAAATATGGATCGATGATTCTACAAATCACACCAAACCATTTTTTATTCTGGATGAAATGAGAGCTCTTGAAGCTCTTCGGGTTATTCTTCATCCCAAATGCAGAAATTTTGAAGTTTTGTTTACATATCCATTGAGCCAGAAGTATTCCACACTTTTCAAGAGCCTTTGGGAAGATTGAGCGAGGTCAGTTCTTGCACAAGCTGTATTTTGTAAATTAAAATTTATGTAAGATCTCGAAGTAGCATGCGTCAAGTCGGTCCATACGTCAGTCAGAGTTGCTGTTCGTGTATACTCACAGCTACGGCTGCTATATTTTCGTGCTGGAAGTGATCTTTTTGGTCGAATATTATTCAATAATAAATGCTGGGTCCAACGTGGGTGATGATGTTGCGCATAGTATGCTCAGTTGGCGTACTGGCGATGTTATCGATCATAAGTAGAGCAAAGCGCACCAAATACATTTTTGCAGAACATGAATTTTCATAACAATTGTTGAACAATTTGTAGTTGTTGTTCAGGCGTAAGTTTTTCCATGATGAAATGCCAAGCAATACTGAACAAAAATAACGTGACAGCTTGACACGACTCACGCGTGATCTGTCCAAAAAAAGCTACTGAAAAAATTACCATTTTTTCGATTAAAAATTATTTCTCTTGCCGGGCTTTGTTTTCAAATCAAGTCCAACTAATTGTCATCTATTTTGTTACCATTTAACTATTGTAAGATTATGCAAAATCCGTCTTAAAGTTTGGGAAAATTTACTTTTTAAAAACCGTATAAAAATTTTGTGCTAAATTTGGTAAAAATTAAGCATTGAAACAAAAAGCAAAAATGTTTCGTGGATGCGAACACATACATAAGTCTAACATACTTTTATGGAGCAATCGTAAAAGCAGCTGATAATTAAAGATCGCAGATGCCTAGAAATGCTTTCAGAAAATCAATTAACTTAGCTGTTGAGGATAAAATCATACTGAAATATTAAACTGAAATACACAAGGTAATGCTAAACATTTTTATGCCCCCAATGAGCTATTAAACATGTGCTATTACTACTAAATATGTGAAAAACCTAAATATTTTCCAGCAAATGTGAATACTAAATCATTATTTTACGAGTTTTTAATTCGATTACCAAATGCAATTGCCTTGCGGGGTGCTAATGGTCTACCAAGTACCGTAAAGTGTGAAATTAAATGAAAGAAATTCTCGCTAAAATTTATATGAAAACCAGAAAGTGAAAGTATTAAAGAGATGTATTCAAGAGAAATGCACGAAAAACTATTTAAGGATCTGTGTAGTTATGTGTGTGTTTGCGTGTGTGCTTGTCGTCAGCTGGCGAAAGGTGTTAAGTGAGTAATAACAAAATCAAGCTATTTGCTCTACGTGCCGAGTCTAGTGTCAAGCATGACAATTGACCATTTTGTTGTTATTGTATTTGGTGGTGACGCCTGAGAGGTTGTAAACATGCTGTGTAACTAGCCGGCAAAATTTAATGATTCACCGCAACGGCACAATGAAATTGACAACGACCATTGACACATAAAATCACATTTGATGGGTCCTCTGGCGCTTGCCCGCCAAATGCTGACGCGTCGTAAAAATCTTAATGTGTTGTAAACGACACAATGGCGTGGCTGATAGTGTGGGTGTACGTAAGGAGCTATATTTTCTAAGTTACATAGATGCGGTGGTCATTTTCCCCTAATGTGTAATTTGAGCTTTGATTTGAAGGTTCTCACACTATGTGGAATTGATTTAATGTTTACGATGCTACTACTTGTGACTACATGCGTATGTATATATGGCTTGAAGGGAAGAGGAATTTATAGGAATTTATTGCTTTCTTAAATGTAAAATAATGCATGGAAAATTTTCAGTAGTACACTTAATTTGGTATATAAGGATGTTTTTTTGTACTAGGGTGTGTTTATAGGTTAACGAACAAAAGATAGAAATTTGAAGATATAAAACCTTTGGAAACTAGAAAGGAAGGGCGAAGGTGTTACCGAACATTCATACTCTGACAACCTGCCAGGATCAAAGTCAGGAAAATACTTTCAAGTGCAAGGTTTTAAGTCATATGAGATTTACAGCAATATTACTCCCGATTTAATCCATTTTATGCACAAAGATGCATCGTTATTAGAAAAACAAACTTCTTCAATTTTATTAAAATGACACATAAATTTGTTGGTATATGCGGTATAAACTCAACTGATAGTTCAAAAATCTTTCTATTAGGTATATGGGGGCTAAAGAAATCATTGATCCGACCCAACCCATTTTTGGCATAAAGGCATACTATCGATTCTATACGTATTTCTGAAATATGTTCTATAATATATTCAACAGATTGACAGGTTGGTCGATATTGTTCGAGTAGGTCCTGAGATAAGGCTTTTCACTGAAATGTCCATTTATGACTCCAGCTCTTATAAATATCTATATATTCAATATCTCTCTTGTATTTCTTTATTGACTTCGCGACGGATTCTGTTCAATTTTCAAGTATATATCTGACACATTGGCCGATATTTTTCGTAAAAAGCCAACTATATTCCTTGAGATTCACATATTCGATACCAAGAGCCTTATACAGTTTTGGCTCATTTTGGACAATTTTTTGTCATAAGACACTATATGTGCAAATTTGTATCTCGTTATATTAATTGCTCTTGCTTTGTATATCAGAAAGTGAAAGGATCAAATGAAATTTAAAATTGTGTTGTATGGGAAGTAGCTCATTTTAACACTGTAACATGAAAATATTGTGGTAATGTCTTATACCAAATTTGGTTTAAATCGGTTGAGCACATCCATATCGGGGGTAGAACATAATATATTTGGCGAATTTAGTTCTTGATTCATCGCGCTTTTATTAGTATTTAATAGTATACAAAAAATTTACATTGGAAGTGAACGGGGTTATAATCCGATTTCATCCATTTTTCTTCGTTACGTGTTCTTAAAATATTTGCTTTAGTCAAATTTGGTTGTGTGGCAGCCATCTACGAACTTGTTCTGCATTTTTTCCAAGGAATACGTACTAGTATACTAAGTTTCATTAGGATATTTAAATTTTCAGATAGTACAACTTACAGCTTGAATAGACAGGACGGACGGACGAATGGACAGAAGGACAGACAAACATCCGGATTTCAGCTCGTCTTAGGTTTTAGTTTTAGGGAAGACAAACATATCATGTCTTGGCAACTAACAGATTTTCAATAAGAGCGCTACAAAAGTATTCTTGTGAACGTACATTCGATTGATTGATTTTATAGTCCACAAGGCACGTTTGCTGAACTCCAGACGCTGAATCTAATTTTTTTCTGGTATAAATCGGCCGATACTGCTGCAATTTCCTGTTTCATATTCGTATTCTTCAATCGTCGCTATACGTGACGTAGCCCTACAGGAAATAGTCTAATGACGTCAAATGGCATGATTAAGGCGACCAATTGACTTGACCATTTCGACGTCAGAGAGATGTCCAATGCTTAAGAACAACATGTGAAAGACTGATTCGGGTCTTCGTTACTCCTTTGTCTCAATGGCACGGAAACATTTTTTACTGTGCCTTTGGATTCAATTTTTTCTACTAGACACTCAATTGTGGATCTAAAAGGACGATTAAGATGACCATAAATTGGACGTAGCGCTCTTAAAGTTAAGGCTACTGACACCATATTTCGGTAGTAAATTTTAATAATTTTGACTCGTTGTTGGATCGTATATCTTTCCATGATGATATGACAAATCTTACTTAGAAGTCATTTGCCGAATGAACTTAATTTTTAAAGTATTTTCGAATATGCGCACATTCGACAAAAACAAAACCGTTTTTTTTTAGTTCACGAGTGGATAAAATTCTGTAAGTTAGTCGATGTCGTATTTAACCAGACTTTTTTATAGAACCCTGTCCTAAGTATGATTTATAGTTCGCCTTTTCTATTAAAAATTTTACTGGTAGCTGTGTACAAAATATAGTTCGAACAAGTTCTTCATGAATGTGTATTCTTAAAATCAACATTTTATTGAAGTCAGGCTATCATGACGGCACGAATCTAATTACTAAAGGCTTCTGAGTTTTTTTATTTATTGGAAACACGTGCCTTCTACTCCTCTGTCGTAAACACACATATTTTTCAAAAGGATCGTATAAATTACGCCATGATCTCACCGTCGGCATGCCGTTAATTCTTATTATTCTTTGGCTTTTGCAGCGTAAAAGCCCCCGCAGTAGAATTTTAAAAGGCCCAATATATAAATTTACAGATGACAGTTTCCGTAGCAGCAATGACGACTACCCCGATGCTTCCAATTTAATGGAGCTAACACACACAGTGCCGGTGCCGCGTCAAAATTCACAACATCACCTGCCGAATTCGCAAACCACGCACATGTTGCATCAACACAGTGAACAACAGCAAATGCTTACACAACATTCACAGCACGTTGCACCGCCGCCACCCATAACGTCGGTCCAACAGCAACAACAACATTCACGTAAGCCACGTCGCAATCGAACTACGTTCACCTCTGGCCAATTGACTGCATTGGAGAAGGTCTTCGAACGTACTCACTACCCGGACGCATTCGTACGCGAAGAGCTGGCTAACAAAGTGGGACTAAGTGAGGCACGTGTACAGGTGGGTGTCTGTACTAACAAAATCGCCAATGAAATTTTAATACCTGCACATGCGATGAATACATTTATGCACTTTTCTTAAAAGTCACTCACTGCCACAACTACTACCATTTACTCTTTGCCTCTTATACGTCTGTCTGTTCTGTCATAGGTATGGTTTCAAAATAGACGCGCCAAATTTCGCCGCAATGAACGGAGCTCTACGTGTGGCCGCTCCATATTGGCGAGTACGCCACAACCGGTGCCGCCCATCACCGTCACGCACAAATTCGATAAAGCCATCGTCGGTAGTGGCAGTGCTGGTGGATTTTTTCATCAGCAAATGGATCATGCGGCCGCAGCGGCAGCCGCTTACACTTTGAGCTTTCCAACACTTGGCATGTATTCAACGGCGGCGGTAGCTGCCGCTGCTGCAAAAAATTATGCAAATTCCTATAATGCATTTGGCAGTGGACCCGCGGTTGGTGCTACTGTGGATGGACTCACCGGTGCAGGGGGTGGTGGAGGTGGTGGCTGTGGCTTCTTTGGTTCTTCGAATTATTGTGCGCCTGCTACTGGTTATCAACACAGCTATGCAACATTGCGGTACAAGGGAGCTCAAGGATTTTAGCGCTATGAAGTGAAATGTTAATAGAAGCTGGAGATAAGTGAATAAAAAGTACAACTTAGTTAAATTTTCATTAATATACTTAAGGAGATTCGTTCAATAAAATATTTATTTAATATTATCTATTATGCGCACTGTAAGTAAAATGAATATAAAAGATTTTTATTGGATTTTGTGAAGAAGCCATGCAAAAGGATTTGAAAATTATTAAGCAATCAGTGGGATATGTCTTTTCTAGTAATCTATGTATGACTCTCTGAAATATTTAGTTCGGCGTCGTCATAAGACTTTCGACGCTGAATTTTTGCTTGTGAAATCAATTAAGAAAAGTGAATAAAGATTTTTTCACCAGCCGCATATATTTTTTTTTACTGAAAACGCCTTTTTAACTGAGAGTGACCTCCGTGCCGAAGCGACCGTTTTGTTTGGAAATTTAGATGGGGATCATTTTCTTAATAAATTCTGCTCGCAATGAAAAGAGTTTTTTATATTTAACATTTATTTTAGTAAGTACATTTAGTAAGGCGTTTTAATTTACCCATTTGTCGAAATATTTTTTCTGAAGTACATAAAGTCAATTCGGCTAGTGAGTGAAATTACTCAACAAAGAAGTTAATTCAAGTTTTTGTGCGCAATCAAATTTCAGGGGTCGAAACGTTCAGAATATTGTCCTTCGGTGATAATTGTTTGTCACGAGCAAGTGTTTTGATCGGCACAAATTATATAAAAGAACCAAGTGCAGAATGGGCATCATCATCAACTTTTGATCCGCACATCAATAAAATAAAGGAATTGTTGCTTGAGAATCGACAATTAACAGTCAGAGATCTTGCTGGCAACGTTAGAAGATCGGTAAGATCAATGAAAACCATTTTCAAAGATCTTTTGGGTCTAAGGAAAGGGAAAGCACAATTGGTTTCAAAAAAACTCATTTTTTTCGAAAAACAGCGCAGCGTTAACGTTTGTGAAACTATGCTTTTCGGTTACCAGTATGTCATAAAAAGTATTAGTACAGGCGATGAGTCTTAGATCTATGCTTATGATCTGCAAACAGACGATTAATCGGTCGAATAATGTGGCAAAGGTGAGCCGAGCCGAAAATACCACGTCAAAGCAGATCACAAAACAAAGTTATGTTGACCGTTTTCTTCGATTATCGAGGTGTAGTGTACTCTAACGATCGCCCTGGGGAAACCGTTTTGAGTCAATTGAAGTCGCTACGTGCATTGAAGGCTATTCTGGAAATCGAGTTTAACAACTGTTTCGAGGATTGGAAAAAACGGTGGCACAAGTGTATTGTGATCAAGGGGGTTTCCTTTGAGGGAATTTTTTTTAATATCCATAGCTGTTTAAAACTCATCTATACCACTTCGACATGAAATCAACTAAATTTTAGCAGACCAAACCAATATTGCGTTCCATGAATTCGGAATAATTTAGTTCGTCATTATTCTTAAGTACTTTATTTTTATGAAAACTTTCACTGTGTTCCATAGATTTTCAATTTAATTTAAATTACGAAGTCCACTCCTTTACATTGGTGTTGTTGACCTTTTTTTGTTTTTGTTCATTTATCCGTGTATTTGAGGTCATTGCTGAAATACCATCCATATCATAATGTACAAATTGCCATGTTTTGGTAAATTTTTTGAATGGTATGAAGTTGTAAGGTCACAATGCTTATCCTTTCTCATATACTTGTATTTAATATAAAAAAAAAATCAGGTTCTAATTTAGTTTATAATAAACCAGATAGTATAGTCCTTACATTATCTCGAAATTTAACATGCTTTATTGAGAATATTTTCATTCTTGTTTTAAAACGTCAAGGTGTCCTTATTCAATCACACAAACTATTCTGAATTTGTTCAACACAGAATGGCTTTTTATGCAATTCGTACAAATAATTTGAAGTTTACTAATGAAATTTATTTTGATAAATAATTAGTGATAAAAAGACCCCGTTAACTGGCGGCAACTTCATGCCTTACAAGCAAAATATTTTATCTTTTTTATGCATATTTCTTCTAATTATTTATTAACCAGTATCCTTTTCGTGTCGGAAACGTAAGCGAAGAATCGCAGCTGAAGAGGCTTATATGCACTTAATTACGCCTAACATTGTTTATGACCTATATTATATTTATTTAGTATAAAGTGCTACCGTTTTTACATTGTTCTGATGGCTATCTTTGCGCGCTGTCAAGTTTTATTTAAGGAATCGTCTCAGCGTGATCTTCCGAAAAATCACTGATTTTCGCGTTTTTTTTTTAAATGTTGAAATTAATTAATCGGTCAGATTTTTTATAAATAAATTATTCATGAAGAATACAAAATTATTTTTTTATGTTTATTAGTGGGTGTATAACATTTAAAAAATTGTTGAAATTATTGATTTTTGATCTAAAACGAAAATTTCAAAAAGATAATTAAACTGTAGGGAAGTCGCTATCGCGCTATGGAAGCTTTGAATAATTTGAATTTCGATTTCAATAGTTGAGAGAATGTTTACCGTAATATATACTATCCGATAATGTAACAAAAGAAAAAAAAAAGAAATGGTTTCTCGAAAATTTTACACATAGACGATCCACTAACATAATTTAGAAAAGTATTTACCTATGAAAATGATTTAAAAAATAAATATTTTTTGTATTGACTTAATATTTGCAACAAAGTTTTTACTTTGTACAAGACTTAGTTCAACACTGGACCAAACCAATATTTTTCTTGATATTTCGGAATTGAACTCAAACATTTTAATTAATTTTATATTTAAAAGACTGGAACATTTTTTGAAAATTCAGTGTCATCGTCATCGTGGATGTCATTAAGCGTTCATTAGCTTGAGATGTGTATTTATTCATTTTCTCCTTCAGTGTAATACACATTATTAAGTTTAACCTTTTTCCCGTAAGATTTTCAGTCCTTGATAGTTATTTATATTAAAGTAATAAATACACAGATTCGAAAAAGCGCAGTATGTACATACATTCACGCTTCTAAATATTATCTTAGTTTTTTATACTTTCGCAACAAAGTTGCTAAGGAAGTATTATAGTTTTGTTCACATAACGGTTGTTTGTAAGTCTTAAAACTAAAGGAGTTAGATATAGGGTTAAATATACCAAAGTGATCAGAGTGACGAGTAGAGTTGAAATCCTGATGTTTATCTGTCCGTCCGTGCAAGCTGTAACTTGAGTAAAAACTGAGATATCATGATGAAACTTGGTACACGTATTTCTTGGCTCCATAAGAAGGTTAAGTTCGAGTTCGGGCAAAATCGGCCCACTGGAACGCTCACAAAACGGTGAAAACCGAAAACCTATAAAGTGGCATAACTAAGCCATAAATAAAGACATTAAAGTGAAATTTGGTGCAAAGGATCGCGTTAGGGAGGGGCATATTTGAACGTAACTATTTGGGCCGAAACTACTATAGCTATGTCAACCAAACTCTATAGAGTCGTTTCCTTCAGGCGTGGCGTCGCCAGTTATGGACCAAAAACCATATCTCAGGAACTACTCGACTGATTTCAATGAAATACCACGCCTTCTTCGAATATAACGCTATTTTGAATTCCATCTGATGCCTTCTCTATATAATATATACATTAGGAACCAATGATGATAGCTCAACAAAACTTTACAAAAATACTGTATTTGAGCTGAGGTATCCCTTGTGGAAAAATTGTACTCAAAGTACACAAATTGATCTAATCTAATTAATTTTACAGCAAAATAAAAAAATATGTAAATGACGGATAATGAAATCTCGATTATCACTTTATCATGCGAGAATATAAAATATTCGGTGACACCCGAACTTAGCCCATCCTTACTTTTTTAAACTGCTATTAACTAATGAAATAAGAGAAAAACGGGCATAAGTATCATCTCTTATCAATTTTTACTTGGTTAGTAATTTGACTACTATAATAATTACGCCTGCAAGTAGTTTAAAACTATGCAGAGGATACGCAGAAAAAAAATTGATTTGGTCGTACAGTATTATTTAGAGAAGACGTATGGGATTGTCCGCATAGACTTTAGACTTATCACCGTGGGAAAAAATCCATCGATGTGATAATGCGTAATAAAGTTGAACGATTTGTGAACATTGTTCAGGCGTAAGAGTTTCCGCGATGAAATGTCAAATAATATTGAGCAAAAATAACCGAACAGCTGGACACCACTCGCCCTGATCTGTCGAAAAAAACGGCTATTGAAAAAAGTACATCACTCGAGCTGATATATTTAAACTAGTCTCTCAGATTTTATGATATCAAACAACTTGGCATAAACTATTATCAAAAGTAATAATTTCCAAAATTTTCACATCGAAAAACTATAACATTCGCGAATTTCACTTTTTGAGATAATTACACATCTTTTCGTACCATTTTATAATATAAAAAATGCTTTTGTGAAATGTATTATACCTGTAGCAGCCGAAGTTAATGCTTGTCTTCATTGTTTTTTAGTATTTCTTAGATATTGTTAATAGCTGTGTGAAATGATTTTTTATGCATATTTAATGATATTTCGTTTTGGGGAAAACATAACTTCAGTAACGATGTTTTAAGTCGACCAATTTAGTGTTCGGAAATGGTCAGATATTTTATTAGTACCAAAACTTACATCAAACCTACATAGTGAAAGTTATTCTTACATTTTGTACATCATCGCGCTCTATTATCACAATGTTATACAATAGAGCGCTTAAGTAAAATCAATAATTTCTATTTCAACTAGAACTTTCAGCAACAGAAATAGCCAATATTTCAGACCGTAGGTGCATTATTGCAATTATTTTCAATTTGTGTATTAAAGTTATAACCACTATTTCCCCAGCATATGTCCTACAAACACAAATATCCATTGTTGTTGTTATCGAAGTTGACTAACTTTACTGAATTCATTAGAACTGGAGCTGACCTACCTACGCACTGGCATTAAAACTAGTGAACCATTACCTTTCGCCGTCCTTGTAAAAGTGTTTGTCACACAAAATTGTATTCTCCACTTATGCATTTGAAACTCATTAATTTTGCGGTTGTGTGATGACGCACATTTGAA